GAGTAAATGGATTTTAGTGTAACATAGCGTACTTTATACAGGCGAAATCACTAACTGTATTAGGAACGGTGAAAGCATTTAGAAAAGATGTYCCTTGGTTTTACATAGGTTGCACGAGGTGTAACCGCAAGGTTCGACCCACGTACATTATTAGTGACAAGGATGATGACTCTGGTATGAAAGAAGAGAGGGAGAGTTTTGATTGTACGACTGATAGATGCAGAGGTAAACAGACATAAGTGTTGCCAAAGTAAGTAACAATTACATAACCGTGCTTCTCGTTAACTACTGCACACTCACATTAATACTCACTTAATAATCATATAGGTTCAGAATTTCGTTGAGAGTTCAAGATGATACTGGAATTGTATCATTGACATTATTTGATCGAGAAGCTAATAAGGTTTTGAACCAAACGGCAACAGAGTTATATGAAAAAGTTAAGAAGGTATGGTTAGAGGTCTTATCCTTTTTGAACTATTACTTTTTAGGACTCCAAGTACCTGTTAATGTAAAAATTGTTTCTTTTCTTTTTTAGAGTGGTGATGTAGACATGTTTCCAAATGAGTTGGAAGTTTTGCTTGATCGGAGGTTTGCAATAAAAATTGATATAACTGATTACAATATTAAAAACAGCTGTTTCATTTATGGCATTTCAAAGCTAACAGATGATGATGCCATTTTGAGTGAGTTGGAGATGAGATGCACTTCTCAACAGGTGCTGATTTCTGTTCGGAAAAAATATTATCCTATTTAGTCTAAAATCTTTGTTACTCTAACATTATTTTAGCATTTACTCTACAGCCTGCTGAATCAGAATCAGTAAATCTGCATTCAACAGATTTTAGTTCCCAAGATAAGTTAAAGGTACTATAAGTGCCACATTCAATGTAATTTGTAAAGACATCTACAAACAACTAATTTTTAAAATGCCACAACTAATTATTGTTTTATTTCAAGGATTCTGTTTCATATACTGGTGAGAAAGCAACACCATCTGATGTTCATAAAAGCACTACAGACAGTCTGGATTCAGAAGAAAAGTTGTGGGAGAGAAGGCTTAGCAAAAGAGTTGAAAGGAAGCGTCTTTTTCAAAGTTTGTATGATGCCGATCAGGAAGGAAAAGGATCGGCTACAAAAAACAATAAAGATCCCTAAGGTTGAGAAGTAATATTCTTCTTTTTGATGAACAATTACATTGACACTCCCATTTGGTATTGTGTTGGTGGTTGAATTTTTTCTTGGACAATTATTTCTACATTGGTGCAGATGTTATGATACACGTCTTCATTATTATTTGTGTTGAATTTGATATTAAACTCATTTGCAGTACATACTTGTGTAATGTTGATTTTCATGTTCATGAAAATTATATCTGCTTGTAAGTATTTAACTATTTTCGGACGAGGAGGTTTTGGATAGTTGAAAAGCAGCTCTGTAATGAGTATGGAAGCAACTTCATGTGCGCTGTGTGGTACATGTAGATCGTCTGCGTAGTTTTGTATGAAGCAGGGAATCAGGATCAGAGGTTCTGCGTAGAACGAGGATAGACAGAGCTCTTACTTAAGAGGTAAGTGTATTATGTACAAAGGCCATCTTCTATGTGAATTATCGTATAAAGCATCTTACATGAAGCAGAGATACCACCCCTGGAGCAATAGAAGAAGGCAGAATTGTTCTAAGGTCAATCTGTAATCTGTTGGACTTTGAGAACTTCTTAGGAGGTTCATCAGGCTTGAAAACATCTAAATCTTCTTGTCTTACCATTTTTTTAGCTTTCAAGCTTTGTACTTTCATTTCAATCGTATTGTAGTTTCTGAATAGTTAATGTAAAACAGAGATCATTTTTAACCTCTACCTTCAATTAGACTTATGTTTTTAATTCAAGTATGAAATTTGTTTCTTTTTAACTTTTGTTGGAGTATCAAGAACTTCTTATGTATTTCATCTTTTTTCCTAGTTTAACAAAAAGGAGCGGCTACAAGAACGTTAAAAATCCCTCCACTTCAGAAGTAATATTCATGGTTCAGGTGTACAAGTACATTGTCTCTCGTATTCGGTATTGTTTTGGTAATTGGATTTTGTTTTGTACAATGATCTGTTAATTGGTGAATGTAACTTCCTATACGCTTTCATTATTTTTTGTTTTGGATTTAATGTTAAACTTATTTGCATGAGTAACACAGAGGCTCTGCACTTAAGTGTTAAGAAAGACCTTTATCTCTTCATGTGCTACGTTCAGGCTGCCCTTCTTCATACAGACCACAACAGAGGTTCTGCACGTGCTACATTGTAAATCTAACCATGGCTCCGTACTGCATACACAGCTTCACAGAGTCTTTGCACTTAAGTGTTCATAAACAGCTCTGTCTCTTCATGTACTGCGTTGAGCCTCGACCTCTTACTCTAAAAGTGGACTTCAAACTTGTAACTCTGGACCATCTGAGTCTTAATTCTGAAAATTTATTCACCCTTGTGTGTGTCAAACCTGACTTCGTTCGTTATACAGACCTTAACAAAGGTTCTGCTTGTGCTAGGTCGTCACTCTAACCCTGCTTCCCTCATTCAGACAAAACTACACAGAGGCTCTGCACGTAAGTGTTGAGAAAAAGCTCACTGTCTTCATGCCCTACGTTGAGGCCCTACCGCTTACTCTGAATGAAGACTTTCGAATTGCTATTTTGTACGGTTCGAGTCTTAACTCTAAAAATTTCTTGCCCCTCTGTCAAGCCTCACTCCGTTCTTCATACAGACCTTCACAGAGGTTCTGCAACTGGTACGCGTCTGAGCAAGGCTCTGTGGTTCATGCAGAGCTCCACAGAGGCTCTGCACTTAAGTGTTGAGAAAGAGCTTTCTCTCTTCATGTTGTACGTTGAGACTTCCCTTTTTCATACAGACCTTCACAGAGGTCCAGCACGTGATACGCGGTCATTCTAACCCTGCCTCTGTGCTTCATACAGAGCTACACAGAGGCTCTACACTTAAGTGTTGACAAAGAGCTCTGTGTCTTCATGTCCTACCTTCAGGCGTCAGGACGTACTCTGGAATTGTACGTCAGACTTGCAACTATACACTGTACGTGGTTTACACTTTGGGAAGTTTGTTCACCTTTGAGGCTCTCAACCCTGACTCCGTTCATCATATAGACCATGACAGAGGGCTTGCACGTGCTACGCCGTCAATTTCTCATCGTGCTTCATACAAAGCCATACAGAGGCTCTCCACTTAAGTGTTGAGAAAGAGGTCTGTCTCTTCAGGTGCTATGTTGATGTTTCCCTTCTTCATGGAGACCTTCACAGAAGTTCTGCACATACTATGTCGTCACTCTAACAATGCCTTCGTGCTTCATACAGAGCTACACAGAGGCTCTGCACTTAAGCGTGGAAAAAGAGTTCCGTCTGTTCATTTTTGACGTTGAAATTCCCCTTCTTGATACAGACCATGACAGAGGTTCTGCAGGTGCTACGTTAGTGTAACACTACCTCCATGCTTCATACAGAGCTACACAGAGGCTCTGCACTTAAGATTTGAAAAAGAGCTTTGTCTCTTCATGTCCTACCTTAAGTCTCTGCTTCTGACTCTGGAAGTGTACTTCAACTTTGTAAGTTTGTACCGTATTGGGCTTAAACTGCGGAAAGTTTTTTTAACCCTTTTGTCTGTCAAGCGTGACTCCATTCTTCGAACAGACCTTCACATAAGTTTTGCACGTGCTATGCCGTCACGTATTTCGGTGATCACAAAAACTTCTAAACAAATACTTATTTCATAATTAAATGTAACAGTTGGAAGCTAATTTTGACTTGTTTGCTTACAGACTTGTACAATAACTTTCATACGTGGTTTGATAGACGTACAGTGTGCATTAATGTTTAAACCATGCAATATGGCTCCAAAACAGTACTAAACAGACTTCAGATTTTCGATTTAAATTGTAAATAGTAATTCTTGAGTGTCAATGTGCAGAGTTCCCTGAAATCAGTTCTAAAATGTTACTTTCAGGTGATAATGTTATAACTTAATAGTTAAAAGTCTGAATGCCATACTTGAACATTAAACTGCATCCTTTGCATAACATGGTAAAGACATAAGTTGTTTTAAGTGATAACGTTATAACTTAATTTAAATATATAACTTATATTACATTTAGGTTTTCCTCCTAATTGAAGTATGTTATTTGAACATTTATATAATACAATCACTAATTGCAAGTGGAAACAAGATTCACCAAAACATTGTTTCTACGCAAAAGCTTATGAATAATTGAATGCTGCGAGGTTTTGAACATGTATATAACTCTTTTACATTTTTATGCATAAAGACAAAGTCATATGTAAAATCTATTCCAAAATAAAATGAATATATTTAAAGTCATATTAACAAATTATATAGCCCTTTCCTTCACTTTCTAAAATCCTCTGAAATCAAAGCTACTAAAAAGTATACTAAAAAAGAAAATTTGTACACAGTGAAAATATGAATGACATATATACATTAAACATTGTATCTACACATACTAACTCTTCCAGTAATACCTTGGTAGCTATCTGGTTTTTACAAAAAGATTTGAAAGGAATGAAGTCTGGTCCGATGCAATCACCTTTCTTTTCATAATCATAAAAAACAGAGTGATTGCATCAAACCAGGCAATATCCCTCACAAACCACTACTTATTTTCTTCTCTGAAGAGATCATTTATTCATCTTCTTCTTCCTTTAAGCCCTAATATTGTTTCATCTAATTTTAATATGCAAATAGGCACAAAATAAAGGAGACTCGGGTGTAGTGTAGAAATTTATTGGAAACTATAAAGGACATATATTATTAAATATATACAGATATTTTTAAAAGTGACGGTTGAAATGACCTCCCAAAGTTTTAAATAAATTTATACTCTTTTCAAATCCGGTAATTGTTGAAATAAAATATTCCCTCTCCTCTCCTTTCCCCCATTTTCGACTCTTAAACTTCTTTTTTCCTTTTTCATTGAAAACTAGATATTCATGGAGGATTGCTTCATGTTAACTCTGATTAAACAAACGGAGCACAAAAGGCGTATAAGAAAGGAGGTTCCGACAATGTCAGAGAAGTTTTCTGACCAAGAAGAGTTACCATTCCTAAAACTTATAAGAATATCAATGACCGATCCCTATGCAACTGATTCTTCAGAAGATAAAGATGACCACATTTTTGAACGTTGGCATGTAAAGAAGTATGTTAATGAAATTAACATACAACCATCAAGCAAAGCTAGAATGATGCCTCTCAAGGGCAATATGACGACAACCAGAAACAGTCCATGTGCTATAGATTCAAAACAGAAAGCTATGAAGAAGAAGAATAAGAAAAATCCAGAGGATAATGTTAGGAAGTTCCGAGGAGTACGGAAAGGACATTGGGGGAGATGGGCAGCGGAGATTATGGATCCGGCTACACGCCAGCGGTTGTGGTTGGGAACATATGATACGCCGGAGGAAGCTGCCATGGTATATGATAATGCTACCATCAAACTCCGTGGTGCTCGTGCTATTACAAATTTTGTTTTGCCAACGGTTTAGAAAACCCACCGCCGATGAATGTTACATCAATGTCCGACCATCATCCCAACCGAAAGTCACTCAAGCTTCCACTTGTGGATGCACCACCTTTTGATTATCAATCATTTGATTCAATACAACTTGATGATGAAGTTGCATCCTTTAACATGCATCATGATTTTGGATCTATAAACCCGAAACAATTTGATGATTTTGGTATAACCCCTATAGCTCCTGACTTCATTTATGAGACTGAATGTGGATCTCCCTCAACTTTAAAAATAGATAACTACTTTGAAGATATTTCAAATAATACTTTAAATTTATGGTTTTCCTAAAATGGCCTGAACTTATTTTAGTTAGTTGTTGGAGCCGTTTAATTGAGTACTATTGTATTATTTTGTTAGTATCATATTAATGCATATGTTTGATCAACATTTAGTCGTTTGATTGATTAGTTTTATTTTTTTTTCAAATAGTTGTAAATGATTTTTTTTTACAAAATATATATAGGTCACAAAAAGAGTTGACTCATATACAGAGCTTAAGTCTAATGGGATTTATTCACGTATTCACGTAATTGTCATAAATGCTGAAGAGAAATCTGAATTGTAATTGTGGAATATGAGTTCAGATTTGTGATGAGATGTTTTTGCGATGTACCTTCTAGCTCTGCCACACAACTCTGACTCTATCCATGGGATCATAGGTCCAGACTTTCGTGTACATGAGGCAAAAGTCTGGAAATAATAACTTCAGATTTAGTGATACATAGACATATCAGAGATGTTTCCTCTGTCCGGAACATTAATTAGGGGAAGAGAATTTTGAATTTCCATTTGAGAGAAGAAGTTAAGATTTGCTCTCAGATTTCTAATGCATGTTACCTTATACGGCTGGCATACAATTATGCACGTAGACAAAGACATACTCGTCCCGACTTGTATGTCCAGACTTACAATCCTAAATACAATGGACCGAGACTTACTTAGCTATAGAACACATATCAGAGTTGTTTTCAGAAGTCTGAAGCATCAATTAAGCCACGAAAAAAGGAGAATAAACGTGTAAAGGGAGAAATGCCACTTAAGTAGACCCATTTGAACCGGAAGTGAACCTGTGTGTGTGGAGTGAAGCTCTGCATACAACACTCAAACGTTTTTAGGCTTTCTCATTAGCTCTGACTCCACAATCTGGTACATAACTTTGAAAAACGAACGTGCAAACAAAAACTGACAAGCAGTTTCTTAATTGACATTGTATTTAGACCATTAATTTACGGTTGCCATAACCGCCTCATCTGGGTAATCGTTTGCTTCTTATAAAATTATTGTACTCAAAGACAATTTCCATTTCCTACTACAGTAAAAAAAAAGCATTCTTTAACACAATTGTCTAACTGAGTCCATTTTCTCACGGTTGTTCATTCTAATGTTGTATTATGTACTAACTTCATGTACTGCTTTCTTGTTGAAAAATTAATTTGCTTGCAGATCTTTTAAAAAAGAAATCTGATGGATGCTAGAGAAAGGAGAAAATTTAGAAAGACGGTTTTGAATAGTAGTAGACAATCAGTGAAATCTACATCATCAAATGTTGAAGGTACCTGATTCAAAAGTTTTTGTAGTTGTTTATACAATTGAATTTCAAAAGTGAGGCTTGCCTCACAATCATATATGTCTGTTTATGCATCAAGATTTCAAGCTACCTACTGTTGAAAAGATTTATCCTATCATCTCAGCTGAAATCCCAGACAAAAATAGTGATTCAGACTTGTACTTGTAAAAGAGTTCATGATGCATGGACCATGTGGTGAAGAAAACATTAATTGTCCATGCATGGTTGATAGAAAGTGTTCAAAAAAATAAGCAAAGAAATTTTTTTAACACACTTCAACTGATCTTAATGGTTATCTTGTATACCGCAGACGAGTGGATGGACGTTTTATTGAGAAATTAGGTGTTAAACTAGACAACATAAATGTCGTTCCATATAATAAATATCTGTTGAAAAAATATCAAGCCCTTATTAATGTTGAGTAGTGCAATCAGGCATCTTCAATCAAGTATATGTTCAAATACATCAACAAGGGTCCAGATAGAGCTACTGTTGCAATTGTAGAAAACAGTGATGATGTGGTCACTGTTAATGTTGTTGATAAGATAAAACAGTATTATGATTGTAGATACCTTTCTGCATGTGAAGCTTCATGGCGTATTTTTGGATATGATGTTCATTATAGGACTCCTTCTGTTTTAAGACTTCCTTTTCATCTTCCGGGACAACAACAAGTAGTGTTTGGTGCTGAAGATAATATTGATAATGTGCTAAACAGACCATCTGTGGCGTCGTCAATGTTCTTATCTTGGATACATTGTAATCAAATTTATGAAAAGGCACGAGAACTGACATACGTTGAATTTCCTACAAAGTTTGTGTGGAAATTGGACGAACGATGTTGGGATCGAAGGAAAAAGGGGTTCTCAATTGGACCGATTCATTCAGTTTCTCCTACTGTTTGAGAAGGGTATTACTTACGAATTCTTCTGAATAAAGATAAAGGTCCTAAATCATTTGAAGACATTCGTACAGTTAATCGAAAAACATTTCTGACTATCAGAGATGCATGTTATGCTCATGGGCTTTTAGACGATGACAAGGAATATATTGAAACCATTGAAGAGGCAAATTTAACTGCATCTGGTTTTTATCTCCGCTTCTTATTTGCAACCATGTTGATTTCAAACAATTTATCTAGACCTGAATTTGTTTGGGAAAAACCATGGCAATACTTAGCAGATGGGATTATGTACAATCAACGAATTGCTTTACAGTCGCCAGGTATGTTAATTCTATATCTTAAGCATAGAATTATACAACTATTATCAAAAACTATGGTTGTTATTGAATTGTATCTACTTTTAATTTCATGTAGTAATTGTGCACATTTATATTATCTTTAACATATTTAGCTCTTAATGAAGAACAAATGAAGAATCTAACTTTGCTCGATATTGAAAAGATTTTGCTTCGTAACAATTCCACGTTGAAAAACTTCACCACACTGCCTTATCCTGATAATGACTCGCTTGAATCCTCAAACAACCGTTTGATTGCAGAAGAACTGGATTATAATCATCATAATTTAGGAGATGAGTTTCACACACTTGTAACTGCTCTTACAGATGAGCAAAGAGGTGTGTATGATGAAATCATGATTGCGGATGAAAAGAAAAAAGGTGGTGTATTTTTTGTTTATGGACATGGCGGAACAGGAAAAACATTCCTATGGAAGACCTTGGCTACATCAATAAGGTCTAAAGGAGAGATTGTTTTAAATGTTGCTTCCAGTGGTATTGCATCTTTACTTCTTACCGGTGGCAGAACAGCACACTCTCGTTTTCACATCCCGCTTATTCTGAATGAAGATTCTCTTTGCCAAATGAAGCCAGATAGTGATGTTGCAGGCTTAATAAAGAAAACTACTTTGATAATATGGGATGAGGCACCAATGGTTCATAAACATGCATTTGAAGCATTAGATAGAAGTATGAATGATATTTTCAATGCTCAATGCAGTGGTGACTCAAATATGATTTTTGGGGATAAGGTAATTGTTTTAGGAGGAGATTTCAGACAGATTTTGTCGGTTATTCCCAATGCAGGTAGACAAGACATTGTAAATGCATCATTAAGTTCATCTTACATTTGGGAAAAATGCAAAGTCCTAAGGTTAACTAGAAACATGAGGCTAACTGCAAACAGTGAAAGTTCAGAAATTGAACAAACAAGGGATTTTGCAAAATGGATTTTGGACTTAGGAGAAGGAAAAGTTGGAGGTGATAATGATGGTGAAGCAGTTATTGAAATACCTCATGATCTTCTCATTACCGATTGCATTGATCCTATATCTGCATTAATCGAATTTGTCTATCCCTCAATTCTTGAAAACATCAACAACTTAGCTTATTTTCAAGAAAGAGCAATACTTGCCCCAAAAAATGAAGTAGTTCAAGAAATAAATGATTGCTTGCTGTCATTGTTTCCAGGAGAAGAAAAGGAGTACTTAAGTTCAGATACATTATGTGAATCAGAACACCTTCATGATGAGTTTGATAAAACTTTGTACTCTCCTGATGTTTTAAATGGTCTTAAATTATGAGAAATACCAAATCATAAGATTCTACTAAAAGTTGGTGTTCCTATCATGTTACTGAGGAATATTGATCAGAAATCTGGATTATGTAATGGTACTAGACTGCGTGTGTTAACATTGGAAATCGAGTAATAGAAGCACAGGTCATATCTGAAAGCAATATTGGAAGCCGTACATTCATTCCAAGAATGTCCTTAACACCTACGAACAAAAGGATACCATTCAAATTTCAAAGGAGACAGTTTCCAATTGTTGTATGTTTTGCCATGATCATTAATAAGAGCCAAGGACAATCATTATCAAAAGTTGGTTTATTTGTAAGACAACCGGTCTTCACGCATGGTCAGCTATATTTTGCTTTATCCAGAATCAAAAGCAAGAAAGGTTTGAAAGTACAAATTATGGGTAATGAGGGTATTATTGACAGTAAAACAACCAATGTTGTATACAAAGAAGTGTTTAGTAATATATGATACTGTAACAACCCTCACATTCCATATACATATAATTCACATCATCATACTCATAATACT